TCTCTCTCTCTCTCTCTCTCTCTCTCTCTCTCTCTCTTCTTCTCTTGTTTTCTTTCCTTCCCAGTCTTCTCTTGGGTTTAGTTTGGGTTTTAGAAACTAAACCCAAGTCCTTTCGTTCTCAGATAAAGATTACATTGTACTCTAAAGAATTGACATCATAATCGTCTTCATGCCCTGAAGAAGCTACCTGGTATTCACACAAGAGAACATATAGTACATATAAAAACATCTTCCTCGGATAGAGCTGGCCTAGGTGGGCGTGGCACAAGGGGCAAGCGTGTTGGAAGGCAAGTTAACTCCGCCCCCTTTCACAGACAGGTTGGGACTCCTGACTGAGTTGGCCCTGCTCACGAGATTTGAATCGAGAAACACGACAATCACTGTGATGTCATCATGGAAATGGCGACGTACCCCCCGATCTATCTTCTTCAAGTCCGAATACCTCATTTCTCTCTTCTTTGCTGCCTCTTGCAGTGCAGCTTTCACTAACCTCCGAGCACTTCCCTGCATGACAGTAGCTAAATTTTCTTCAATCACGGCACATTCAAAAGAATAAAATGATTGGCAAACTTGTTCATGGAATAAGCAACCAGTAGTTAATTTTTTACATTGACAGCAGATTCTAGAGATGAAATAATAAACAGCAACAATAATTCGAAAGTGATGTTTCCCTCCATGTTCAGTTACTAGACCCCTAAGCAAGTGCCTTACTGATTCATGATCAGATAACTATAAAACCCTAATCACACCAATCTGATTCAATAATCAAGCGAGACGACAAACTTAAAAGTGGCCAAGGAAATTATGTAAGTTAAAATCCCTCTCTATGAGAAAAAGTACCGATGTTCAGCATCTTACACTGCGAAGATGATTTTGAACTATATCAACTGCTTCCTGGTTGCTGAGGTGCTCCCATAGACCGTCTGATGCAAATATAATGAACTGATCGTGTGGCTGCAGCTGGTGTGTGGAAATTGATGGATCGGAGCTCAATATAGGCCTTCTAAAAGGTTCACGTAACCGAAACTTGGCATATAATGGCTCCCTATTGAATTCAGCCTTTTTTAAATATACATCGCCAATAGATCTCGAAACCTGTGACATAAAATAACATCAGAGGGCATAAATAGTCCAAGTTCAAGGTGCATCATCTGCTGATGGGTTGTTCATAGATGGGCAGTCGTTTGAAGTCGATGAATCAAGCACGACAGGTGGGCATATGGGGACGATGGTGACCACGGATCAGCTTCATCTTCATGAGCCACATGTTGGACATTGACTGGAGGCTCGGATGATGAATAATAACCAGGCTGTTGTGGAGGATAACCATGATGAGAGTAATTGGGTGGTGGTGGTGGCTGAGAAGATAAAGCAGAGCCGTGGTCAGTGAAAAGGGAAATAGAGCTGTCTGCAGAGCGAGAAATTAGAAAATTTGGATTTGTCCGGCGGGCGGCCAAGGCGAGATTGCCGCCCACCGGTGGAATGAAAAATACTAGGTTCCTAACCTAGCTCTGATACCATGTTAAATAATGATGTATTATTTATTGATGTGTTGATAGATATGTTATGTTTACAATGATCAAATATATAGAAGAGAAGAAGGTAGTAGGTGAAGTGGAGGTGGTAGGTGGAGTGGGTTGTAGTGGAGGTGGTAGGTGGAGTGAGTGGTAGTGGTAATTTACATAATTTACATTAACATGGAGGAAAAAAAAAGAAAGAAAGAACAGAGTGTAGAGAGAAAGGAGACGAAGACGACGACGACGTAGAGAGAGGAGCCGTCCTGTGTGTCGCCAACCAGGCTGCGTCCTCTGCCGATGCTGCTGTGTGTGCCATTGTTGCTGTGTATGGCCCAAGAGTGCTGCCGGTGCTGCTGCTGGTGGCTGTGATTGCAACTATTGGATTGATTTTCAGATTGGGTGATTGAAATTTGGTTTCAGATTGGGTGTTTTGGAAAATTTATATACTTCATGTGATTGAAATTTGGTTGCAGATTGGGTGTTTTGGAAAATTATATACTAATTTCATGCAATTGAAATTTGGTTTTAGATTAGGTGTTTTGGAAAATTTATATACTAATTTCGTGTTCTGAAATTCATGTTTTGTTGCAATCAACAAGATGAACTAATTTCAATCTTCATGTTTGAAATTTCCATAATATCAATCAGAGAAGACAAACTAATTTCAAAGAACAGAAAATGCTGAACTTGTTCAACTGTTGTCTAGAAAATTAGACTTATTGTTCATCTGTTGTTCAAAAAATTAAACTTGTTGTTCATCTGTTGTTCAGAAAATTGAACTTCTTGTTCATCTGTTCAGAAAAATGTTGAAATAATTTCAGTGAACTTAAACTGGTTCAGAAAAATTTGGTTGTTCATCTGTGCAGGGATGAGAGGGATCCGGGCGTCGTCGTTACCGTATGAGTAGAGAGGGATCTGGATCAGCGGAATGGTTTGGTTTGGAGTCAGAGGAGAGGAGAGAGAATATAATTCAGATTTCGGGCCATCCGAGCAGCTGGATTTCGAGCTACAAAGCATTATGCATTTTTAAATTAAGTAATGTTAGAATTATCATATTTTGATATTATATAATGTGATATCTTACATAATACTAATTACATCATTTGACAAGCTCCACATAACACATATGAATAGTGTTATCTAAAGCACAATATCAAATATGGCCAGCATAAATTATTAAAATTAATTGTTAATTATTTATTTAAAACCATGCATATCACAATAGATATAAATAATGTTATTTAAAGCACGATACCAAATATGGTCAACATAAATTATATAATGTGCCAATGCTGAATTGGAAAATAATAATAATAATAATAATAATAAATAATTGAGTGAATCCCAAAACAATATTAACACATAAAAAGTTAAACAAATTTTTTTGGGTAAGTAAAAAGTTAAACAAATGTCTTTAGAAATAAGGTTTAAAAAAAATTATGAGAATAGAAAAATTAAATTTGAAAAATTACTTGGTTTTTACTGTTTCAATTCTGTTTTTTTAACTGGATTTAGAGTCACAAATATGTTTATATTTGCTAATGTGGCATGTTTGGCCGTTGCTATTCTACTTATCAAATTTGAGAACAGATATAACATATGCTATCTTTGACAAATAAAATAGCAGGTCATTAAAGACCCACTTTTATCACTATTGTTAAATTATAGCTTTAGTAAGTATTTTGAAAGCTCCATTGAAGATGCTTTAAGTAAATAATTATTTTTCCTTTAACTAACAAAAGTGTTGTCTAGCATATGAACGTTACACTACGTTTATTGGGTAGTAAGCATCTAGTTACACGATATTTCGGAAGTACGCAATAATTAACTCTAAAGGACCAATCAAATTTTAATTATATTTTTTATTTATTTTTGTTTTTCATGTCTTCCAAAATAAAATAATAAAAAGTTTGAAAATACTCGACTCTTTATTTATTTTCATATTTTTTTTGCAAAAATAGTTTTCGAAAATTGAAAAATAACTTTTGGGTGTTTTCAGGAAAAAAAAAAAAATTCCAAGAACATATTTCAGAAATAGGTCATCATACAAGTTTTTGTGTTTCTAAAAAATTGAAAACAAAAAAATAAAAATAAAAATACAACAAAACAGACTCATGGTTTGTTTCTAAGGGATGTTTGGCAAGTTAGAATTTTAGTCAAAAATTCAAAAAATCACTAAAAAACTAAAAATTCATATTAAAAGAAAAAAGCAAATATTCATTCTCTTCTCTTTACTTTTTTAGACTTATTTTCATAAAATCATTTCAAAACACTTTAATTTTTGTACCTCATATTTAACTAAAAAGTCACTAAAAAATCACTTGTCAAACTAACCCTATTTATTTATTTGTTTGTTTGTTTTTTAGTTTGAACTTTCCCATCTACCAAATTACATTAAAAACAATAAACCATGTGAATCTTATGCTATGGACCCTCAACATCCACAACCTGAGGTTACCCGGTACAAGGAACCACTCATTGATTAAATTTGTCGATGACAACTTCAATTTGCATATTTTACCAAAATTATGAGAATAAATAATTAAATTCATGATTGAATTTTGAATTGTGAAAAAAAATTATAAAAAATGAATAAATAAAATGAAAGAATCTAAAATTTTCTCTTTTTTTCTTGAATAAGGAAGATGAAAAGAAAGTTATTATATTTTTTTTAAGGGAGTTGTTAAGATGTGCACCTCAATAAGATGTGCACATCATATACACATTTATTTTAAGCCATTAGATTTTTACAAATTAATCTCAGCCACTGAATAATTTGATTAGGAATCGTGAGAACCTCTTCAACCGGTTACCCTTTTTTCAAATTTCTTCAGTTTTTTTCCCAAAGCCCCTCTGTTTTTGAGATAGCACATAGACACTCTTCTTTGCCCTCGAAGACCATCCCTGCGAACACGACCTACCCTCGACTTCGCCTAAAGGTATGTCTCTCTCTCTCTCTCTCTCTCTCTCTCTCTCTCTCTCTCTGCAACTTTTTTCTCTCCCCCTTTCTCCATATCCATTCTATGAAACCCTAGACCACAATCCCTTTCTTTGAAACTGCCCCTTTCACGTTTGTGAACTCACTGGGTTGGTTTATAAAAATAGGAAAATATTAGGTTTAGGTTTTTTTATGTTTGTTTGCTTTGGTAGTTGTTTTGATTCCATTCTTCGAAATCCCCTTTTGTTAACCCCTATTTCCTGTATCGATTCTTGCTTCCCATTCTTCAAAATGTCGTTTTCACGTTTGTGAACTCACTTGGAGTGGTTGGATTCTAAATTTAGGAAAAGATGATATTAATAGATTTTGTTTGTAATGTTTGTTTGATTAGGTAGTTGTTTTGACTCCATATATATAGATATATCTTGAAATTTTGGTTGAGTTTGTGAAATCTGATGTGTAATCAAACGGAATAAACTTCAATTTTATTCATTTCTGTCGAACATGTTCATGTGAAAAATGATGCTTTCTATGAAAATAGGATCAGAATGTGCAATGACAAATGAATTGGGCTAAGTTTATTGTATGCTTCTTTTGTTTTTTTATCAAAAGAGAATTGTCAAAACAAATTGTCATTGGAGTGCAAGCTAACCAATTGTCAAATCAAAGTTGGTCACAACCCATTGTGATATTTAGTTATTTAGTTATAACCCAACGTGGTGTTCATCACGATTCATTATAGTGACTTTCTTTTTAATAAAAATGGTCTTTGGTCATATTTCAAAATCAATAATTTGAATTTACTTTTCTTAAAACTCAACGACTGAAAATTAAAATGTATGGTGACAACTATTTTTTACACTTATTTGAGTACTGACATAATGAACTCCCCCCCTGGGCCGTTCTAGAGCCTACATAGATTCTAGGATTTCATATGTGTATCTATTAATGTAAGCCCAACAACATTTGTAACTAATGGTAAGAAAATCAAATGAACACTTAGTTTATATATATTGATTAATAGAACACTTAGTTTATATATATTTGAGTACTGACATAATGAACTCCCCCCCTGGGCCGTTCTAGAGCCTACATAGATTCTAGGATTTCATATGTGTATCTATTAATGTAAGCCCAACAACATTTGTAACTAATGGTAAGAAAATCAAATGAACACTTAGTTTATATATATTGATTAATAGAACACTTAGTTTATATATATTTGAGTACTGACATAATGAACTCCCCCCCTGGGCCGTTCTAGAGCCTACATAGATTCTAGGATTTCATATGTGTATCTATTAATGTAAGCCCAACAACATTTGTAACTAATGGTAAGAAAATCAAATGAACACTTAGTTTATATATATTGATTAATAGAACACTTAGTTTATATATATTTGAGTACTGACATAATGAACTCCCCCCCTGGGCCGTTCTAGAGCCTACATAGATTCTAGGATTTCATATGTGTATCTATTAATGTAAGCCCAACAACATTTGTAACTAATGGTAAGAAAATCAAATGAACACTTAGTTTATATATATTGATTAATAGAACACTTAGTTTATATATATTTGAGTACTGACATAATGAACTCCCCCCCTGGGCCGTTCTAGAGCCTACATAGATTCTAGGATTTCATATGTAATTACTGGTAATCAATTCACAGATTTCTC